AGGAGTTTTTGAATCACCCAAGTAAGTTACAGGGAAAGAGAAGTTGGGGAGGGAGAGAGAATACAAGCAAAGTGTCCTTCGGATGCAATTTGGGATGATCGAATTACAAATTAGGCTGGGTCTTTCCTGCCCCCAGACAGAGTATAAGTGAATCAGCTTGGTACCTGGGAATTGCAGGCTTCCTGAAAGCATCAGTATTCTTGGAGTTTGTCTTCCGAATGGCACAGAGTCAGGTCAAACATGAGTTCAAATCTCAGCCTCACCACTAATTAACTGGCAAATTCCTGACTCTCTCTGAAGGCATGGTTCTGGTGGAGTCCGTGGGGCGGGGGTAGTGGGGGAAGTCACAGAATCTTCTAGAAAGTTGTTCCAATACCACTCTTATAATCCCGCTCACAAAGCATTCCCACCTCATTTTCCCCAAGTGCTTAACTACCCACAATATTCCTAGGCTGAAGCCTCCTGGCCTCCTGCTGTCAGCGTTCTGGTCCTGGACAGATCTGTCAATCAGCTCAGGAAGGCTCGGAGAGTCAGGGCCTTTCCCCTGGGGTCTCCTTCTCCAGCTGCAGCTGCTTCCTTGTGGTCCTGACCAGACCTGTCTCCTGGGAGATCATTTTGTCTCCTGCCCTTTCTGGGATCTATGAACTTGACTCCCCTGTTCCTGGCTGCCCCAGAGGCTACACAGCTAAAGCCAATGATAGGCTCTTCTCCAAAGCTCCCCTTTCCCCAGATATGTATTCTCCTCTCAGTCCCACAATTTTTTCTTTCCTCTCTTTTGGTTGGATGCCTCCTGCTCTAGCATTTTTCTGGAGGGTGACTTCTAGTATTTTCCAGAGGCTGCATCCATTCATTCAATCATCAAACGGGCACCACGTTCCTACCAAATGTCAAGCCCTGGCAGATGAGAACACTCACCAGACTTGCCCTTGTGGGGCTTACGTTCTAGCGGAGAAGATAATGTTTGATCGAATACACTTACAATATATAGAATTACCAGTGATAAGTGTCATGAAGAATAGATGAAAGCCAGGCATGGTGGCCCGCACCTGTAATCCCAGCAGCTCAGGAAGCTGAGGCAGGAGGATCGAAAGTTCAAAGCCAGCCTCAGCAATTCAGCAAGACCCTAAGCAACTCAGTGAGACCCTGTCTCTAAATAAAATACAAAAAGGGCTGGGGATGGGGCTCAGTGGTTAAGTGCCCCTGGGTCCAATCCCCAGTATCTCCCCCCCACCTCAAAAATAGATGTAAGGAATGAAGAAATTGTCTCAGTTGAACATGAGAATGTAAAGACTCAAGATGGCTGTCCCTGAGGAAATAATGTTTGACCCCAGATCAGAAGGGAGTTAGGAGGCACCTAGGGACAGAGAGGGAGGAAAGGATAAGGAGGGAGAGGGTCTGGGGGTGGGGCGAATAGCCTGTACAAATACAGTTTCCCTGGACCAGCTGTTTCCTGGTCCTGGTGTACACTGGAACCATCCTGAGAGCTTTTAAAATTATGGGTGGCTACCGCTGGGACGTGGCCCAGTGGTAAAGTGGTTACTTAGATTGCATGAACCTAGTACCATGAGGTACACTGTGGTTACTTAGATTGCATGAACCTAGTACCATGAGGTACACTGTGGTTACTTAGATTGCATGAACCTAGTACCATGAGGTACACTGTGTTCAACCCCCAGTACTGAAAAATGTGTGTGTGTGTGTGTGTGTGTGTGTGTGTGTGTGTATCTATCAGTTAAGGGCCCTGGGGTTCAATCCCTGGTTCAAAAAATAATAATAATATTTTTTTTTTTTTTGGTTTGGACCTGTTCTGGGGGGTGTAGATATCTCCACTCAAGATTCTGAAACCCTGCTCCATCCTGGCACATCCTAGGCTCCAGACCACAGGATGAATGGTCTAGCTAGTCCAGGTCTCCCTTTCTGAGAACCTTAAGCCTTAGAGAGAAGTGACTTCCACAAAGTCACAGATTTGCCAAGCGGCCACCCTTGTTCCCAATCACTCGGTGGCTCCTGGGACCCCCACGCAGCCACTGGAGATTATCCTGCTGATTCCCCTGCCTTTCCCTTTCTTGTCACCTGCTGCCACCACAGCAGCCAACAGAAGTGGAAGACTCTTGGGGGCAAAGATGAGAGCCAGGTCCAGCGGCTGCAGGGCACGGTGATGAAGCCCACGTGGGGTAGTTCGGGTCACTGTGCCCTTGGGTTCAGCCTGGCAGGAAGCAGGCAGGAGTAACAGATGTCCTCCAACAGCTGGGAGGAAACCGGCAGGGAAACTGCAGTAGTGGCAGCAGG